ATCACCGAAATTTGGAATACTTTCACCCCCGAATATTGCAAAACTTTGATAGATTACATGCCAAAACGCATTAAAGCTGTTATTGCCGCGAAAGGTGATGTTACTTCTTGTTAATGTTCGATTTAAAGTAAAAGATTTAAATGCGTCCGAATATTTATTTGTCAGCAAATTCGGTATGTTTTTGATATTTTGTTATGTAATTTATATGAATTTAAAAAATAATTCATCACGATAATACTTTTTGGTATAAAAATAAGTGCGTGATTTCATTTTTCAATGGAAGAGGCAAAAAAAAATCAATTTAAAATAAGTATAAATATGTTTTCTTATTATTTCGTACATCGTCCGAAAAATTAGTTGTTAGGGGTCGTATAAGTAAACTGGCTGGCCGCGTGTCGTATTTGTCGCGCGGGTAAGAAATTGCAGGACGTCTAGAGTTGGTTAACCTTTCAATTTTTCGCGCCCTCGAGATGTTACCTTAAGATAACAGAAAAGAGAGAATTAGAACAAAGTTACTATCAAGAATTCAACTTTAGAAGGGAATTATTCATTTGTAGAGTTGTCATCATCTGATGACACCACGGGCAAATTCCCGTGTAAGCCCTTCTGGAAGCTCTTCAACGACGTATCAAACCTGAGTCTATATAATTTTTTACGTATTAGTATCTGGATTTTATAGACTCAAATGTTCTGTCTAATGAAAGGTGTCCAGCATCATCGTGGTAATATAAAAGTATTCTCCTGCGAGCAGTCTTTAGAATCATCACCGTATCATCTACATCATCATCTACATTTACGAGGTTCATAACTAACGCACGAGTTTCGTCCTAAACCACGGCGCGACTTAATGCATCTACTTGTCGCATCTTAGTACCTGTTCTTCTCTCATTAAAGAATATCTTAATGAGTTACAGTCTGTACTATCTTAAATTTGATACTCAACAGACAAAAGCTATACTTCTTCTTTATATATATATATATATATATATATATATATATATATATATATATATATATATATATATATATATATATATATATATATATCTATATAAGAAAAAGTATAGCAGACGTTTCGCCAAGATCTCACTTGGCATCTTCAATGCTCGCGCTTCGAACACACGGAGTATAGTGTCATCACATTTTTCCATACGTGAATCAATACGTGAAAATATCATACACCTTTACGGGGAGGAGACCTTTACAGCCAGTGTTCGAAGTGTTTTCGGAGCGCGAGCAACAAACAAACGGATGATATGACGGAGTATAGCCATCTGTGAATCAATATATATATATATATATATATATATATATATATATATATATATATATATATATATATATATATATATATATATATATTTATTTATTTATTTATGTATATATATCCATTTTTGGAATCCTTAGTTAAAATAAACGTCACTTTAGGCAGAAATGGAGGTTAGGTATGTGTTTTTTTCATAATTTTATGGCCCCATATAAAATTATGTTGTGACTTTAACTAATCAGGTATTGCAACGAAAATTTAACCACAGACTAAGGAGACGATGCACTACTCAATTGATAGAATGAGCCTTAGCTTATACAGGGTGTCCTAAATAGGTGAAAAAAACGCGTAACCTCCATTTCTGCCTAAACTATGCAAAGTTCGAATAGGAATTTCTTATGAAAGTGACTTTTATTACAACGAAGGATTCCAAAAATGACTAAATATACAGGGTTTTCTATTTAAAATAATAAAGTTCATAGCGGGACACTTTTGGGGCACCCGTATAAAACAAAATTATAATATTTCACATTTTCATGAAAGTCCAATAAACTTTTGGATGTGGGTGGAGTACTGGCTTAATTTTATCCGCCCCTGATCTAATTTCTTCTTTGGTAATTTCGTGGCCCACATACTCTATTTTGGTCTGCAGAACCATGCGCAGTGTACGTCTGACTGCAGTACCAAGTACAAGCCATGTCGGCAAAACGTGACTGTATGTGATATATGGTAGTCATGTCATCCCAACAACTTTTGGTTTTGAGTTGTTCGCCCTTTGGAGCCGTCGGGTAGCAGTTATATTATCAATTTCTGGAATTAGTATTTTGGTTGGACATCCTTCTTATTATACTTTCGAGCTGTTGAATTTTTAATATGTAGCCCTGACATTTGCAGATTCCGTAAAATCTGAGTGAGAGTGACTCCCAGCATTTAGAATATGAACCAGTAATTTTTCGTTTCTTATATTTACATTAGCATCAGATTCTCTAATTTCATTTGAATGACGTAATTCATAGTCAGGTGGCATTCTTTTACACCTGGCTTCGTAAAAAGGTAATTTTTCAAAGTATCTATTAGAATTCCTCTCCGATGTAGTTTTTCGATATCTTGAGCGACTACCTGAGCTGGAGCTTCTATTACTACTGGCGAACTAAAATTACCACTAGATCTATTACCATGCTTCTTTATTTTGCTCATTTTTAGATTAATTAACTATTCTTCATAAAAAAATATAGAATTGCCGATTTTATAAATAGATATGAGAATTGAAAATAAACCCTCACACAAGGACCCGTATATTGATCGATGTTCACTATGCAAACCTTGATGCGCTGACCCATAGTTTTTTACGAAACATTCTGTAACATAAGTAAGGTGGCTGGTTACGGTAAGAAATTGCACAGGGCATCTACATTAATATGAAAGTTTCGGTCCTTTTTATAAATATGGCCGGACAAGCATTATCAAACAAATTGGCCGGATGATAAATTGTAGTCTTGGTTGCATAAGAATGAGAGTTTTACATACTGTGTAGCAAAGACGCGTAAATAATATAATGTGCTCAATTAACGTCCCATCATACAGAAAAAAACACTAGATGAACAAACACCGAAAAGAGTAGAAAAGAAAAGACCCATTTAAGCAAAAAAATCATGCATCTAGACGCTCAAGACGTAAAAGATTGTTTTATTTCCAAACATCATCTCTTTAGCTAATATTTACAATCATTGATCATCTAGTAACTTATTTTTAATGAATGTTTTGATGGGATTTCATTCCAGTATTTTGATTCAGAATTTCCCAAAATTTGTGGTACTGTCGATGTGTGACTGTGATATTTTTCGGAGGAGATATTTTTTATGAGGGTAAGTCAACGATAAAGTAAAGTTCATTATTTTATTAGTGTCAAAAGTTATGAGAAAATGGTAAACTCAAAAGTTGTTAAGATTGTTAGGATGAACAATTTCAAATTATTTTAAATTATACAGGGTGACTCAGAAATGCGCGACTAATTAAACATATATATTTTTTAAATAGAACACCCCCTTTTAATTTTTGTTTAGAATTTATTTTGAAATTCTTCTCCTAACAACAATACATATCTAAACCTTATAGTTGTTTTTGATCACTGCTATTTAAGGTTAGTGTTATTGGAAGTGACGTAAGAGATATATGCAATGGGTGTGTAAAGTTTTTATTAGGTATTTCATGTATAGTTTTAATATTTTGCGGTTTATTTCAACTGTTTCAATATTCTTTTTATGTAACACTGTTGCTGCAATATTAGTTTGCCATGATAAAACTATTACCCAATAGAGCTCTGTTCAAAGTCAAAATCCATATTTAGTTTTTTTTTATTCACTGATACCACAATAAATTTTATGAATTTATTCACTCAGTCAGGTAAAAATTTGACAATGTCATTTTGCCATGGTCTATTTAATGTTATGGTAATAGCTTTAAACCCAAAGAAGGGTAAATATGAGACATGTTTTAAATAAATCAAAGTAATAAAAGGAAGGATATGACATTTAAGTTGTAGGTTTATGTAAAAACCTTCATGTTAAATCGATATTTTATGTTTTCTTCGTTTTGATTGTTGTTGCAACCCATGATTTTGTGAGTTGAGTTTTAGGTTATGATTTTTTTGGTCCTTGTTAAAATTTTTCTATACTTCATATATCTTTTCAACAAGGGTGAAGCAGAGTCGTCAGGGAACTGTTTAAGCCAAGAATGTGTAATAAATTGATCTATATCAGCTAAGTAAATCGAAAATTGTAGAGGCGATTAAATAGACCCTTGCAATAACCCAGTAGTCATATTTTTGTATTTTAATTTTTTTAAGTTAAATGCATTTTTTTACATTCATGCAATGCTCTCGCTCGACTTCCCAATAAGTATGACATGATTGAACAAAGTATTTTGAACATCTAATAAAGTCCTCAGGATATTGAATTTTCGGTGATTACTAATGACTTTATAATTAAAGTATCTGTAACAGATCTAGAAGTTGATTTTTGAACATTTTCATTGTATTATATTTTAATATCATCTAAAATTTCTTTTTGTAGTACCTGTTTGTTAAATCTTGTACATTGTGCAACTTTTTGTTTAAAGTCGAAAATGTTTTTAAAAAATTCGTTGTATGGTGATTATTTTCGATAAAATTAATAATTACGTTCCCCAAGAATATCAAAAAGTCATATTCAAAGAACGCCTGTACTCAAATATTTTCTAATACTAGATATTCGTATTTCAATCCGGGGGTCTATAAATTGAGGTGATAAAACTTTTCTTTTGGTGTATTGTAAGGTCAATGCTAAGATATTAAAATCCTGGTCCTATGTTTTAAAAGGAAAGCATTTTTTTTAAATAGGAATCAGAACTACCTCCCCTCCCGTTACTACTTTGCCTTAATAGATTATAGCAGCGAACGTTATGTGCTGTACTATCGTGCCTTGGTGGTTGGTGTAAGCCATGTTTCTAACAACCCAATTATGTCAAATATATATTCATATAGAATCTGTGCGAATTCGTCGAACAATGTGAATTCCTTCCTAACATTTCGGTAGCCCGAGTGGCAAGCTCCCTCAAAAGTTCCGATAGCTAAACTAAACAAAACCAATAGCAGTTTTTGACGTTTGACCCTATAAAAGCGCTTGGTTGACTACTACACCCAAAAAAAGATATCTACTAGTAATAATAATAAGGAACCTTGATGTATGGCACTTACGTCTATTTGCGAAGGAATAAAAAACTCCATAAAAAAGCAAAAACCTTCGGAAATATGACGATATAAGTTTACCAACCCTCCCATCCACTGGTGACAGATTTCATGAGAAATCACGGAAATACTTTCTTGTTTATTGGTGCCTGTTATTATATTGTTCAGCAATGCCACCTCGCTATAAAATGAAAATGATTTGATATTAGGATATATAAGCAATATATATATATATATATATATATATATATATATATATATATATATATATATATATATATATATATATATATATATATATATATATATATATATATATATATATATATATATATATATATATATGAATTATTATTATTATTCCAATATTGTGGAATTTCAACACGCATTGAAAAAAGTTATTATATTAGACCCATACATATCTATCGCAAGCAGAATCCTCTCGGAAATAAATTGCTTTGTTCGTCCCAAAAAATTTAAATGATTTAAAAGATACCATTCAAGATGTAATAGGGAATTATCGAAATTTCAACTACTTAAAATTTCAATTTGTTTCTAAGAATAATTGAACTGGTATCTATTTAAATTATTATTTCCTGAGAAGACGGACGTAGTATTACTGTCTTTCACAACCAATAGTTATTTCTCTTCTTTACACGAACCGCACACATTTGTTAGTGCACTATGTTGCTAGTAATATTTAAAAGAAATACATTTTATCAAGGTAGGTAATTATTCGAGAGGTAAACCGAAGGGTTAAAAGTGTACACTGTAATTCCTTTTGTACTTTTAATTCCTGGAAATTTGTCAATTCAATTTGCATTCTTCAGAACTCCTTTGAAATTCGTAGCTTTTTGAAAAGGTTTAGGACTTTAGGGCAATTAATTATTATATTGATATGCGATATATAGCTGTTTCATGGCATTGGCCGAAATGAACAAAACCAATGATTCTTTAAGTGCCTAGAACTCAAACTTGTTTAATATTTAATACCTTTTTAAGTTGACTTAGATACAAAGTAACTCATGCCGAGAATCTGAATCAGTTTTTTGTGTTTCGTAAAAGTGATACCTTTGGATTTTTCTGGCTTTGAAATGAGCCATTGAACTAAAATCAAATTATATTTATAATTCTAAATTAGACACGTTATAAATATAATAATGACAAAAAGAATTTATATTCGAATTTCAGAATAAACTTACGTACTTGCAATTATCTATTGCGCTGGGAAAAAAAGTTACCGGCTACCTGAATACAAACTTTCGTGATGGTTCGTATGGAAGAGCCGTCACCCGTCTTCACAGACAGTACACGCGTTTGTCTGTCTTTTTCTGGATAAACGAACCAACGGCGAGAGTTGTTTTACCGCGGATTTTCAGAGACCTTCGAAGTGTGGTATAAAACTGCAAAATATTTTGTTGTCTAATAAATACTGATTAAGCTAGCTAAACTAACCAAAACCGATTCTTTACTTTTCTTTAAAATATTTTCTATATGAGTTGAACGGTCTGTCACAAGTTTCATATGCCTTGGTTCAAAAATTGATAAATATACATGGTCTATCTCCACTTCTCTATTTGCATTTTTTTCTCTCTTAAGTTTAGCGTCCTTATTAATGGTTTCCAGTGCATAGAAATTAATGATTTTTTTACAATTCTTGTTATTTAATTTAAGAATTGCTTTGGTTTCGGGATATAATTTAAATATTGGTGAATTACTAATCGTGTACTTCCTCTGTTTATTTTCCAACGTTTACTTCTGGGAAACCTTTCTTTTTTGTCATTAATTTTTACCTGCCTCCTTCACTTTGCTATGGGTGGTTGCTGTGACCTGCTAACTTTTGGAAGATTTTAGAATTGCGTATGTGCCGATTCCGTATTCTGCACAATAGTGTGCGAAACTCTTGGTAAAGCCGCGCCTTGCAACCCCTTCAACCCATTGCATTGCCCACAAGGAATTTAAGTTGGGGCAGGATCATCACTTTACGAACTGGGTAAATATTCAATGTGCAACAGAGAAGTACAGGATTCCATGAACGAGAACGATCTAATACAGATTGGGGCGGACAAATTTATACCAAATTTTTTTGCGTAACTGTAACAATCGAATAAATAGAATTTTATCAATTCTCGGCACTCTTGCTTATGGGCAAGATTGGGAGTCTTCCGCTGTACATAATGGATCTGTCAAGACATTGCCTGAAAAATGCTTACTTTATGTACAACGGGAAAACAAACTGGGAATTCTATAGGGAGGAGCTCGCTTGGCGTTAGGGGGCTTACCAAGAAAACACCGGACAATGGAGGAGATTGACGAGGCCGCCGACCGAGTCAGCTCTGCTATGATACGCGTTTTCGAGAAGAGCTGCCCTGAGACAGAGGAGCATAGAGCGGGGAGGACTCCTTGGTGGAGCTCTTCCCTGGAGCGTCTCAGGAGGAAAGTGCGGAGGCTGTTCAATACAGCGAGGAGCAGCAGCCAAGGTGCGGACTGGGATCTCTATAGGGAGGTCTGCAGACAGTACAAAAAAAACTACGGGCATCACAGAGGAAGGCCTGGAGGGACTACTGAGGGAAGATTGGGAGTGATCCGCAGGACCGGCGGTGGCTACACAGCAGGACCAGCGGACACACTACAACAGTTGCTGACCACGCACTTCCCAGGGTCCGCTGATCCGGACACAGGGGTGAATATTGAAGCCGGGGGTCGTCTTGGATGCCACTACGCCACGGCAAGGAGGTTGGTTACCCATAGTAGGCTGAGGTGGGCTATTGATGGCTTTGGCCCATTCAAGTCGGCGGGCGGGGATGGAGTATTTCCGGCTCTGCTGCAAAGGGACGGAGGTCTCCTGACCAGCCCGCTAATGGACCTGTTCAGAGCCTCCATTGCGAGGGGGTACGTGCCCGAGCTGTGGAGACAGAGCAGGGTAGTGTTCATTTCCAAGGTAGGGAAGAGTGGCTACACGGACCCGAAGTCGTACCGGCCCGTTTGCCTCACCAGCTTCATTATGAAGACTCTGGAGAGACTGGTGGACCGGTATCTGAGGAACTGGGTGGAGCCGCTGGCCCCTTTAGAGCCAGCTCAGCATGCGTACCGAAGTGGCGGGTCTGTGGGCTCAGCTCTTCACCATCTGACTTCCAGGTTGGAGGAGGGTATGGGCTCGGGACGGCTGTCGGTGTGCGTGTTCGCTGATATCGAAGGGGCATTCAATAACACGGCCCTGTATTCGATCTGCAGGGCGGTGGAGAGTACTGGAGTGGTGACGACCATCGTAAGGTGGATCCGCTCCAGGCTAACCGACCGGAGGGTCGAGGCAAGACTGAGTGGGGAGCAGGTCTCCATCGATTCATCACGGGGTTGTCCACAGGGCGGGTCTCGTCCCCGTTCCTGTGGTGCCTAGTGGTGAACGAGATATTGCATATTCTGAGGGAAGAACACGGGGTCTATGCTCAGGAATATGCAGACGACCTTGTGATAATGACACAGGGGACGGACGTGAGGAGGATGCAGGGGCTCCTGAACGGGGCATTGGCAAGCTTCTCACAATGGTGCCTGGACAGCAAGTTGGCTGTCAATCCTGGCAAGTTGGAGATGGTCATCTTCACCAGAAAAAGGAAAATGGAGTGCAACATCAACATTTCGATGGATGGGGTGCCTCTTTCTGCAAGCGGAAGTGTCAAGTACTTGGGGGTATGGTTGGACTCCAACTTGACCTTCCAGGAACATATAAGATCAGGGATCAGGTCGGCCTTTGGAGCTCTGTGGGCGTGCCGGAGAGCGGTAGGGGGTACTTGGGGCCTGGGGTCGAGGATCATGCAGTGGATCTACAATACCATGGTGGTGCCTATGCTTACGCATGGGGCAGTGGCATGGTGGCCGGGGACCAAAAGAGCGGGAGCAAGGTTAGTTCTTGACAAACTGCAGAGATTGGCTTGCCTCTGCATAACGGGCGCCATGAGAACAGCGCCCACGAGGGCCCTAGAGGCTCTGGTGGGGTTGCCCTCTCTGGCGGATCGGGTGCAGAAGGAGGCGGCCAGGACAGCTGTGAGGCTGGCGAGTTGCGGGCTCTGGAGGGAGGGAACCTTCAATCGGGGTCCGTACGACATTTTAGAGGGCTGTCGCAGGGTCATGGGCATGCCGAGTGATGACATGATCCCCGAGATGACCTTCTTTGACAAATTGACCTTTTTCTTCCCATCAAGGGAAGAGTGGAGAGAGGGCAGAGTCGGCTCATGGGATAGACTTGTCTGGTACACGGACGGGTCCAGAATGGGAGATCTGGCCGGAGCTGGAGCGTACTGCGAGACAACAGGATCGAGCTTGTCGGTCCGTCTGGGTCAGTACTGCACTGTGTTTCAGGCGGAAATTTTCGCTTTATTGATGGCGGCCAGAGAGGTGCTTCGGCTCAACCACGGAAGCAGGAGAGTCTTCTGCTGTTGATAAAACAGTGCAAAGGGGTACTGAGGAGGGTGACTGAGGAGAGGAAGGTCACGTTGGTCTGGGTCCCGGATCACACCGGTATCCGGGGCAATTAGGCAGCGGACGCCTTAGCCAGACAGGGCCTCTCGCATAGGCATATAGGGCCAGAGCCCCGCTTGGGGATCGCCCCGTGTGTGAGGCGGGGAGCTCTCGAAGAGTGGGCGAGAGACCGGGCCGCGGGGGGCTGGAGAGTTGCTCCGGGAATGAGGCAGGCGATGGTTATGATGGATGGGCCCGCCCTCCCTCGCACCAGGGAGCTGCTTAAACTGACCAGAAGGAAGTGTAGAGCACTAACAGGGGCCTACACAGGACATTGAGGCATCTTTGCTTGCTTGGCATTGGAGACGGCCTGGAGTGTAGGTGGTGCATGGAAGGGGAGGAGTGCCCTGCCTTGACATGGGCAAGACTGGTTGTATGTATATATATATATATATATATATATATATATATATATATATATATATATATATATATATATATATATATATATATATATATATATATATATATATATATATAGCAAGTATTTTTGTGTCATTGAAATTAAAAGTATGTGTTTTCTCCGTTGTATGGCTGCTGATGGCTGCTTTGTTTTTTTTGTCGTAATTATTGCGGTTCTTCAATTTGCTACTTGCTACAGAACCAAACACACAAAAAAGGGAAATAATTGAGATGATACATATTCAAAGGAATAAAAACTCCATA